TCCTGCTCCTCTGATGCTGCTTGGCCTGCTGTGTTCATCCAGCTCTACACCTTGTTATCTCAATAATCAGTGTTTGGTGGCCCAGGTTTGACTTTCCCATTGTGTAGTCCCATTGTACAGAGCAATGTTAGAGTCTGTTTCTGCACTTCTTGCACTATTTCATTCAACATTATCTGTGTGACAGCTACTGAAAGCAATTTGGATGGTATCACTTGGTATTAGTGTCTTGATCCGATTACTCAGGTGAATAAGTATTACAGTGTTTCAATCTTGGTTATGTATTCAGAACCGAGATTACCAAGTTTTGGCTGCTTTAATACATTCTGCTTTGCGTGTAATGTCGAACTAATGAGGATGAATATCAGGTCAGACTCCTTATTTGATAGGACACAGCTACCCCACATATATGCAATTACAAGTTAGGAAATAATATTCCACTCAAAAACAGAGGGAAGCCAATTGATGAGGAGTTTAAAAAAAAATCACAGAAATAAGTGGTCACTGTTGAATACTGTGACAGCTGAGCTGCATTGTTATTACAATGCCAAAATTCACTTTAGTCAGCCTAATTATATAAGCTGAACCAAATCTTAGTGTTTTTCAAAGTCACGGAAGCAGTGAGAGAAAGAGAAAAAGAATAATTTGGGGATTGAATGTATTTCGCTGATGTGAAACCAGGAGTGGTAATTCAACATTATTTCATAAGTGCAGCATCTGCCTTCACATATTGTGGGATAATTGATTAAAATCACCTTCAAAATGAACCATGGCATTGAAATGAAGGAGAAAACTATTCCATTCACGCTACCTGATGCAAACATAAAGCATTTACATAACCACAGACATTCATTTGTGAAAAGTTTCAAGAGTTTTAACTTCATTGACTTTGATGCGAATGCATTCCATGCAGTGGCCATATCTTGTGTGAGGATGTATTTCCTGATGTTACTGCTGACTTTTTGTTAGTTTGAATCTATTGTCCAATCTTAATAGATTAGCTTGGAGCAGTGTTCTGAATTTCCAATATTTATGGTGTTCGAAAAGCTGAAAATTCCAGGTTTTACCGCAGTTTCTTTGAAGCTCTATAACACTCGGGATAAAGTCTTAATGGATTTTTGTCTGCGCTGAATTCGGAATTTGAATTCAGAATTTGAAGTTCATTCTTATGTCTCATTGACTGGAACCGGGTACAGTATTCAAGGTGTGATATAACGTGATTGTCCCAGGACTGTATATCAACTGCCAGCAGATATTGGAGGTGATACCATTGGCGAAACAATGACTTTCAACTGAGTATCTCATTTGTAGGTGGCAAATAATCCCTGGCTAAAAGTCAGGTATATTAAGAAAATCAGTAAGAATACAAAGCATCTGAGGCAGCTGATGTAGCATGAGAGAAAGTCTAAAAGTCCCAAAGACTCCTCAGCAGAGATAGAAGCTGAGCAAGAAATGATAAGGTAGGCCATGCAATCGTGTTGTAGCATGGAAACACTGGGCTGGATTTTATAGGGCACTGTTTGTCCCAAGCCCATTGACTCAGAAGCCACATACCCGACAGAGGTATGACTCAGGCTCACAGAAGTGTTAGGGCACAGAGAGAGGCTATTTGGGCTGTTGTACCTGCACTGGCAGCAGCCTTCAATTGATTAAGAGTGGGACTTCCACCTCTGTCTGGAAGAAGATCCTGCCCTGGAGAGCTGTGGACACACCTTATTGGCTGGCAGCTCTGTTGTTCCAGCAGCACCAGGTTCAAATGGTGGCCATTGCTGGTACTGCAGTCAGTCCCTGAGGAAGAATGGACTCCGGCTATGTCCATTAATTTAGATGGGCCTCACTGAGAAACTCAAACAGGGGGTTGCTGGGGATTTTGGCAGAGGTTGTGTGGCGGGATAGGCGAAACGGGAATGTCTGATCTTGGTTTTGTGGTGACCCCACCAACAGGCACAGAAACCTCCTAATTAGGGTACCTCCCGTACCCAACAGGAACCTGTTCAGTGAAAGTTGCTGGGCTACCCACCATGCCTCAATCACCCTCCATCCCCAATTGCAGCCAGGTATAAAAACAAACAAAGGGCCTCAGTAGATTTAAGGGTGTTCAGTGGATGGTGGCAGGAAGATGGAGGAGATGACAAAATACTAAAAGATAAGGAAAAGATACAAAATAGCATGAAACCAAATCAAGCTCTTTGAATCCTATTCCTCAAACAAGTTGGATGGTCGTTTTATATAGTTTTGGGGGGGGATGGGGTTGGGTTACTGAGCACTATACACTGGAAAGTGCATAAACGTCTAAATAATAGTATCAGAGCTTAATTTTAGTATTGTTAATTGTCACATGATAGGAATTCCTGCATTAGCATGTTACTCTACCACAAAATTAAATGTGTTTTTAAAATGGGTGGGAAGCCTAAAATCAGAAACACCAGCCCATCTTTCTGATCGATGACAGCTACTTTTACACTTACCTAATGGGCAGAACTGACTGAAGAATCTACCCACAAAAGCAGAAATTGTTGGAGAAATAATGTTGGGGAGACATTGGAGAGATGAAACATGGGGTGGGTGACCGCTTTGCAGAATACCTACCCTCTGTCCGCAAAAAAAATGCCCCAAAGCTTCCAGTTGCCTGCACTTAACACAGCACCATGTTCCCACACCAACATTTCTGCCTTGGGCCTGCTGCAGTGTTCCAGTGAGCCTCAGCACAAGCTCAAAGAACAATACCTCATTTTTTGCTTGGGGAATGCAACCTCTAGGATTCAGTATCAAGTTCAATAACTTTAAAGCTTGATTCCATCCTTCCATGTTTTTTACCCATCCCTACACCCAGTCCTGTTATGACCTGGGTTGCTTTTAGCACAGTCACCCATTGTCATCTACTCCTAGGCCCAATATCACATTTACTAGATTGCATTCAGCACAGCTCACCCATTTGCTCACTGTTAGTTTTTAATACCCCTTATTCAGCTTTTTTTCTGTCCTGACCTGCTATCCATTGCCTCCTTGTTTACCTCCCCCTTTCATAGCTCTCTCTCTGTTTGAGCTCCATCTCCACCTATCTGCTCACCTCTCCCTTCACCCACACACAACACACATGTTACACACACACACACCCCATACGCACGCACACCAGTTTTTTCTAGCTACTAACAGTTCTGAAGAAGAGTCATTTAGACTCAGAATATTAGCTTGCTCTCTCCACGGATGCTGCCTGAACCACTGCAATTCCCAGCATTGTTTTTGCTTTAGTTCTTTCCACGAATACTGCCAGACCTGCTGAGATTCTCCAGCAATTTCTGTTTTTGTTTGTGTTTTCATTTCAGATCTCCAGCATTTACACTTCTTTGTTTAACTATGTTTCATTGAAGAATGTACCCTCCTTTGCCAAGATTTTCCTTAATAAATTTAACCAATTTAGAAGTTATCAGAACTTCGAGGAAACCGCAGTAAAACCTTTAGATTATTTCCTGGAAATTATTCCTCGGTATCACCATCTATTTAGCCTGTATATTTTATTTTTAATAGTGAATTACATCCTTGCATATCAAACTCTCCAATCCTTAACAAATCCTGGACTGATTTTGTAAAAAAAACAAAATTCTAAATGCCAATTCTGAAATCTGATATTTAATTAATGACTTTTCTTTTGCTTATGCTGATTAAATTAGTGGTGCAAGTATAGTATCGAAAATGCTTCAGATATCTTTCCAGTTCCAACCTTGAGCTTACCATACCGAAGTTTATTAAAGGTGCCAGATCTTCTGACCGCATTTTATGCAATTAAATCCTGATGAAAGTTGCTTCAAAATAAAACACACTAAAATGTCATACTCAATAAAATTGCTCCTAGTCTATGTTGTTAAAGAGAATGTAAGCTGGGATCAGTGTTTACTACAAAATAAATCTCTGTTAATTCCATCTCTACTCACTTATGCTCACAGAAACTCATGGGTTATGCAGATGTATTAATCACCAGTTTACTTTGGAGTGAACACCTATCCCCAGTATAAGTTCCTTTATTGTTCACCGTTGTTAACCTGTTTGCTGTGTCTCTGTATCACAACTTTGCTGAGTTGAGTGATAGCTGCAAAATGATGCTATTCCCCTGTGGTTTTTGTTTTCCTTGACCTCACTTATCTATAATCCACTGAATATTTCCCCAGTGAAAAAGCTGGAATGTTGACACAACAAATGCTGCTCATGGGGTGGCCAAATAAAATTTGAGACTTCATCTTTTTCCTTCGATGATTTGGGCTGAACTGGCCCTTTGGATTAAATCAAATTTGGTGTAAACACTACAATTTAAGCAACTGTGCGGTCATCAACCTCCCATACTCCATTATGGCAACTGCCAAGTGGCATGAACATTTGCTTCTGCTGTGGAGCCTTGAGAATTGACAGTGCTCAATTGAACAAAAAAAATGCAGTTTCTCAATATTGATGCCAAATGGATAAAGGATCACAGTATTTACAAAAAAAATATAAGTTGCACAAATCCATTTATTTAATGAAGCATCTAGCAAAGAGCTGTCATGGAAATGGTGAGTTGAATGGCCTCATTCTGTGATGTGACATTATATGAGTCCACAAATCATTTAAAAAATTGTCAATCTTTATTTTGTTCTGAGTCTGGGATTTGACTAATCAATTATCAACTGTCATATCTCTCATAACAACATACCTGTTTAATTTTTCTTGGCAGGACTGTACTGTTTATGAAACTGAAAACAAGATTCTTCATGTGGTGAGTCTATTACATTTTGTTTGAGTAAAGCACACAGTAACAATTTCACAACTTGCATTTGTACAGCGGTTTTAATGCATGGGTTATCTTAAAGTACTTTATAAGGGAATAAAAGGGGGAAAGACCTCGAGCCAGGGGAGAGCTCTTGGGGAAGGTGATCTATGACTAAGATGAAAGGTGGCCTTTCAGAAAGATGTTAAAGGAAGATGGAGAAGGAGTTCCAAAATTAGAAAGTGATGACTGAAAACTTTGTGAAAGGCAGGTTGCAAAGTTACAGGAGAGAAGGGTATGACAAAAGGTATGACTTGAAGGTTGAGGTGCAAGAGAGGTACAAGGCTGTGGAGAAATTTCAAGTGGACCAGGAGTTTAAATGGAATATGTTGAGGCAGGTAGTGAAAGGTTTATGTGACCAACCAAAGGAATTCAGGGAGCATGAATTTGTGAATGACAAGATGTGGGAAGAGGCATTTTCAATACATTGATGTTTGTGAAGATGGATAGCTGGAGAACTGGCAGGAGAATAACTGTTTATGTAATTGGCCCATTTATGTTTTCATTAGCAGGGATTGAACTAAGCCTGGAGATAGACAATGTAGTGGAAATTATATTGCAGGTATGAAGCTCTGCTGGTGCTCAAGGATAATGCTGGGTTGCACATGAATTTGTATGCATACAAGCAGTTAGGTGATGACAGTTAGAAGAAGGGAACAGAGTTTATTAGCTGTGATTTTCCAAAATACAGGAGAAAGATCTAATGCCTCTAACAGGGCCCAATGATAGACTGGCAGCGTGACAGCACAGAAATATATTGGATCAAATGAAGTGAAAACTGTCTTGTATTGAATTAGAGTGCAGAGGTAAAGCTATAAGTGGTAAGTGTGGAAGCTGATCCTGTGCCTGTGAGTTAAATTTTCAAGACAGAGTGTAGGTGAAGGGAAGTGGGACAGGACAGGCATCAGGGGTGATAGCGTTGCAGAAAGATGGTGCAAAAAAAAGTTATACATGCTGGAACTATGAAATAAAAGCATAAAGTGCTGACGTACAGTTCAGACAAAAACAGAGTTAATGGCTGGGAAATTCCAGATTTTGCAGGAGAGGAGCTCGTAGCCTTTGAAAATGAGAATGCCCATTGGATTTTTTGGAAATCAGGTGGCTGTTTGGTAGCTGGCAGGCTTTCTACTGGAACAAGACCTAGGAAAACGGATCTCAGCCACCAAGAGTTGCTGCTCAATCAGAGGCTGACAGTTCATCCATGGTGGGGGTGTGTGGCTACTGTTGGTAAAAAGACACCCTGGAGGTCCAGGATGGAGGATTACCTTCAAGAAAAGTTAACTGCTGTTTATGGGGTAGGGCGATCCTGGTTTGGCAGGTGATGTGTGCATGGGAGTTGGGAGTGATGGCAAGGTTGAGTGGCTCTTATATCATTGGGAAGAGTCAAATTGGCAAAATAAGTTCTGGAACAAACACAAGAATAGATTGTTTTAGATCTAGAAATGTGTATTGGAATCGGATTAATGTCATAGGAAATAAACCTGTCAATAAGACCAATTAAAACACGATAGAATTTCACATTCAGTTTGAGGCTGGGAAACTTGAGTCTGAGTCCACCGTCTAATCTTGAATAAAGGCAATTCTAAAAGTACCCAGACAACAAGGTGCAGAGCTGGATGAACACAGCAGGCCAAGCAGCATCATAGGAGCAGAGAGGCTGACGTTTCGGGCCTAGACCCTTCATCAGAAAAGGGGGAGGGGAAGGGGGTTTTGAAATAAATAGGGAGACAGTGGGAGGCGGATAGAAGATGGATAGAGGAGAGGATAGGTGGAGAGGTCAAAGAGGCGGGGATGGAGCCAGTAAAGGTGAGTGTAGGTAGGGAGTTAGGAAGGGGATAGGTCAGTCCAGGGAGGACGGACAGGTCAAGGGGGCGGGATGAGGTTGGTCGGTAGGAGATGGAGGTGCGGCTTATCCCTCTTCTATCCGCCTCCCACTCTCTCCCTATTTATTTCAAAACCCCCTTCCCCTCCCCCTTTTCTGATGAAGGGTCTAGGCCCGAAACGTCAGCCTCTCTGCTCCTATGATGCTGCTTGGCCTGCTGTGTTCATCCAGCCCTGCACCTCGTTGTCTCGGATTCTCCAGCATCTGCAGTTCCTACTATCTCTAAAGGTACCCAAACAGGTTTGGTAAAAATAGACTAGGAAAGTAGTTCAAAAGGTAAGGGTCGCAGACAGCGAGGAGATGTTTCATGAAACTCAACAACGAAAAATTCAATTGAAAAATGAAAAACTCTGAGAAGCATGAATCAGCTTTGGCTAACTAAGGAAATTAAGGATGACTTCAAATTGGATGAAAATTCTTACAATGGTGTGAAAATTAGTGGTATGTCAGAATTGGCCAGAAAATTCAGAAATAATGTTCAGGGAGAAATTATAATGAGGGTAAACAATTAAGAAATATAAAAGTGGACAATAAGAGTTCCAACAGATATATAATATGGAAGGAAGGATCTAAAGTGGGTATTGGTGCATTAGAGGATGTAACTAGGAAATCACTAAGGGGGAAAAGAAAGGAAATGAAATCTATTTTGAACAAGTATTTTAGATCTGTCCTATCATCACAGTAAAAGATGTTAAAGGTATCCCGAGAATAGAAAAAAAAAGTAGCAATGGGGATGGAGGAACTTAAATTGTTATCACCTGAGAATAATACTGTACTTGAGGGAAATTAATGGGGCAGATTCCCTTGGCCTGGTGGCTTGCATCCTATGGTCTTAATAATAAGTAGCTACAGACTTAGTGGATGCATTGTCTGAAATCTTTCAAAATCCTGTAGATTCTGGAGATGGACCCAGCAAATTAGAAAACCAGAAATGTTATGTCTCTGTTCAAGAAGACAGGGAGTCAGAAAGCAGGAAAATGCAGCCATGTTAGCCTAACATCTATCATTGAGAAAATACTAGAATCTGTTATAAAGGAAGTGCTGTATTGGCAGGAAATTTAGAAAATTGTAATGTAATCAAGCAGAGCCAACATGTTTTATGAAAGGAAATTGAGTCTGACAGATTGATTAGAGTTCTTTGAGGATGTAACAAGCTCAGTGGATAAAGGGGAACCAGTTGACATTTATGTATTTGGACCATCAAAAGCTATTTGATATGATACCACATAAAGGACAACAGGACAAGGTAAGAACTCATTGTGTTGGAACTAATATGTCTGAATAAATGGGGAATTAACTAACAAAGAGGACGTAAAACGATGGGGTAAATGAATCATTTTCAGCTTGGCAAACTGCAATTAATAAGAGTACCACAGTAATCAGGTTTGACCTTCAACTATTTACAATGTTTTTTTCACAAATGGATGAAGAGACTTAGTATACGCTAGTCTTAGACCCAGTCTTCTCCCTTCCAAACAGGATTTAAAATTCACTCATGCAATGGTTGCTGCTATCTAGGGTGCCTTTACACTGAGGTTATTAATTAATTGTCACATAACACAATACCACATCTGCTAAATTGTGCTGTCTGGTTCCAGAATGTGCTATCTTAAGAAACTATCTTGAAAGAATTCTATGACGTCCTCATCCAGGCTACCATTGCCAATCTGATTTTTACAGTTTCTGTGGAGTTTAAAGTCACCCGCAGGCTCAAGGGGTTGAATGGCGTATTCATGCTCTTATTTATGATTTTCTTACATTATCACTGTTGAAACTCCAATGAACCTCAAACTTCTGTACTATGAAGGATAAGAGATTTTGCTTACTTTTATTCTATTGCAATATAAAAATTCTTGGTTCTTTCTAGAACTGAAATCTTTAATAGGCTAAATATAAATGTAATTGTACGCGGTGTAGGAAACTTTGTTTGTTTTGATTTATTTTGTTCCCACACAGTGACCTAAAGAAGAATTCACATTAAGACTGGAAAGACAGCAAGGTTTTCAATAACACATAAAACAATCTTAATTGAGCCACAGAGGACTCAAAGCTGTCAGATCCTCTCTGCTGTCAAGCAGTTTGGAAAAAAAATCATATTTATGATTATACCGCTAAATGTATCTTGGCACATGGCCTAACTGACATTGTTTTATGACAATAAAAGCCACTGGCTTAAGCAACATAAAATCACAGTTCACTTTATAAAGTACATGCAGAAGCAATTATAGTCAAAACTTTTTCCTGAAAGGCATGCTAAATTGGGGAATTGAAATAGTTATTTATGCTTCATTAGTCAGCATGTGAGACTTCCAGAAGCGCATCATTGCAAGATGTGAGATTTCCTTTGATTATTCACCATGCACAATGCATTTGAGTTAAAAAAGAGATTTGACTTCCAGGTGGCAATTGCTGAACATTAAATACTGCCGAGGGTCCTGTGTGAAAATCCAGCTCTAATAAACAAGTTTTTAAAAATATTCTTACTGTCTCAGCACAAAACCGTTACTCATTGTTTATACAAAGTTTTAGTTGCAACCAAATATTTTCATTTTCATTTTCAACTCATATGTAGAGTCATACAGCACCCTAGAAACAGGAAACAGACCCTTCGGTCCAACCAGTCCATGCTGATCACATTCCCAAACATCTGCCTGCGCTTGGCCCATAATCCCTCCAAACATTTCTTATTCATGTCCTTATCTAAATGTCTTTTAAACGCCGTAACTGTACTCACGTCCACCACTTTCTATGGAAGTTCATTCCACACATGAACCACTCTCTGTATAAATAAAAAAATTGCCCCTCACGTCTTTTTTAAATCTTTCTCCTCTCACCTTCAAAATATGGCTCCTAGCCTTGAAATCCCCTACCCGTAGGGAAAAGACATTTGCCATTCACCTTGTCAATACACATCGTGATTTTATAAAGCTCTATAAGGTCACCCCTCAACCTCCTACGCTGCAGTGAAAAAATACCCAATTAGTTCAGCCTCTTGTTCTCACTCAAACACTCCATTCCCGGCAACATGCTGGTAAATCTCTTCTGAACCCTCTCCAGCTTTATAATA